ACATCTATGAGAGTGCTTAGTTAAATGTACAGTTTTGGATCAACATAGAAACATTGTAAGGTTTTTTTATTTGTGCTATGGATAACATAATTTAAGTGTTTGTTTGTTTTAAATACAGTGTTTAGAGCATTCACTTTAATTTGTTATAGTTCTCTGTTATTCTCTCTCTCTTTGTTATAGTTCATTTCATCAGAAGAGATCAGAACCAGAGTCCAGCTGTTTGTCTATGAGGAGTGACAGGTCTATGGATAAAATAATAGATTTTAAGAGTGTAGATACAAAAACTGATCTAAGGTATAACATTTACATAACAATATGATCATAGTATGGCATTTTGTGTTATCAGAATAGTATTCTGATATTAAATAATTATGTTTGTACATTGTATATAGTTATTATTTTTATCTTTATCTGATATTTTAACGTATGTTAACGTTCATTGCTGACAGAGACACATCTATGAGAGCGCTTAGTTAAAAGTACAGTTTTTGTATCAACATCAACATAGTATAAATAAAAACCTGTGAAGTGTTTGGATAAAATAAGTGGGTTAGTGTATAAGTATATAACACAAATAAGTGTTTTTTATTTTGAATACAGTAATTTAAACTGAAATACAGACATTTAATTCACTTTAATGTCTCTGTAATAGTTCATTTCATCAGAAGAGATCAGAACTAGAGCCCAGCTGTGTGTCCATGAGGAGTGGCGCGTCTGTGGGTCATATAATAGAATTTAAGAGTGGAGATACACAGACTGACCTCAGGTATAACGTTTCTGTAAAATATATGATTTGATTATGATACAGAAAAGACTTATTGCTTGTTAACTCGTGTAATAATTTGGTATGTTATTTTTACAGCCATGAAGTCCTCAACAGCTTTAGATCAAATCTGATGAAGAAGTTTGAGTGTCTTTATGAGGGAACAGCAAATCAGGGAAACCCAACACTCCTGAATGAGATCTACACAGAGCTCTACATCACAGAGAGTGAGAGTGGAGAGATCAGTAATGAACATGAGGTGAGACAGATTGAGACACAATCCAGGAGAGCAGCAACAGAGGACACACCGATCAAATGCAATGACATCTTTAGACCTTTACCTGGACAAGACAAACCCATCAGAACTGTGCTGACAAAGGGAGTCGCTGGCATTGGAAAAACAGTGTCTGTGCAGAAGTTCATCCTGGACTGGGCTGAAGAGAAAGAGAATCAGGACGTCCAGCTCATATTTCCACTTCCTTTCAGAGAGATCAATTTAATGAAGGACAAAACACTCAGTCTTTCAGAGCTTCTTCATGTCTTTTTCCCTGAAACTAAGGAAATATCCAGTGACAAATATAAAGTGTTGTTCATCTTTGATGGTCTGGACGAGTGTCGTCTGTCTCTGGATTTTCAGAGCGATGTGAGGTTGTGTGATGTAAGTGAATCAGCTTCAGTGGACGCGCTGCTGACGAACCTCATTGTGGGGAATCTGCTTCCCTCTGCTCTCATCTGGATCACCTCCAGACCAGCAGCAGCCGATCTCGTCCCCTCTGAGTGTGTCCATCGAGTGACAGAAGTACGAGGCTTCAATGATCCACAGAAGGAGGAATACTTCAGGAAGAGAATCAGTGATCAGAGACTGGCCAATACAATCATCACACACCTGAAGTCCTCAAGGAGCCTCTACATCATGTGCCACATCCCAGTGTTCTGCTGGATCTCAGCCACTGTTCTGGAGAAGATGTTGAGCGAAGCAGAGACTGGAGAGATTCCCAAGACTCTCACTCAAATGTACACGCACTTCCTGATCCTTCAGACCAACATCAACCATGAGAAGGACTATGAGAAGAACGTGACAGATGAAGACATGATCCTCAAACTGGGGAAACTGGCTTTTCAGCAGCTTGTGAATGGCAATGTGATCTTCTATGAGGAAGACCTGAGAGAGTGTGGCATTGATGTGACAGAAGCATCAGTGTACTCAGGATTGTGCACTCAGATCTTCAGAGAGGAGTTTGGCTGGTATCAAGGGAAAGTCTTCTGCTTTGTTCATCTGAGCGTTCAGGAACATCTTGCGGCTGTATATGTGCACCTCTCCTTTACAAACAACAACACAAATGTGTTTGACTCAATCACTAAACCGAATTTGCGGTCTAAAGTTAAGGACTGGTTTCGTCAAAATTCTTTAGAACATGTTTCATTGTCTGCTCTGCATCAGAGAGCTGTGAATGAGGCTCTACAGAGTAAAAATGGACATCTGGACCTTTTCCTGCGGTTCCTTCTGGGTCTTTCAGTGAAGTCTCATCATATTCTCCTTCAAAGACTAATGAAACAGACAAGCAGATCTGACAGCAATGAGGAAACAGTTCAGTACATCAAGAAGAAGATCAGGACCATTGACTCTCCAGAGAAATCCATCAATCTGTTCCACTGTCTGAATGAACTGGGTGATCATTCACTAGTGGAGGAAATACAACAGTATCTGAAATCTGGAAGAATAAAGGAAGCCAAACTCTCTTCATCTCAGTGGTCAGCTGTAGTCTTTGTGTTGTTGACATCAGAGGAGAAGCTGGATGAGTTTGATATTAATGATTTTGTTGGAAGAGACAATAAATCTGAAAAACTAAAGGTTTTTCAGAAGCTGCTTCCTGTGATTAAAGAATCCAGATCAGTTCAGTAAGTATCATTAAAAAAAATCAGTTCACTGTTAAAGGTACAATATGTAAGAATTTTGTAATAAAATATCCAAAAATCACTTGCACAGTGGGATATATTTCCTGCAGTTGTGTACTTACAATATCCCAAAAGTCTCCAAAGATTTTTTTATTTCAGACAAATTTTAAATAAGTGGCCGTCCCGGAAAAAAATGTCGCCTGTCAATGACGCAATATCCGCGCTAGCCTCGGTTTCCGCTCGTACTGCCATAGCCGTGACGTAACCATGGCGACAGACGTGGACAACTGCGTAGTTCGTAACGTTTAGGGGCACGCAGTTTTTGGGTGCTTCTCAATATCCCTCCTCGTCTCCTCACTCCTCCGTCCTCCATCCTATGACCTGGAAACCAATCGAGCTCAGCCATCTTGAAGGACATCTCAATTCTCTAATTGCACCGCGAGGAGGCGAGGTTCGAGGAGTGAGGAGGCTTCCAGAGGAGCTATGAGCGAGGATACACAGGTGTACCCTTTGCGGGAGAGTTTTATCGACTAAACATGACACATGTATCAATTCTCCTCCCCCTTCACATCTGTCACAATCATTTGAATTTAAACTTTACTTTTGTAGTTTACATAAACCACACAACTCACATATTTCAAAAAGGTATCTTGCTTTATTATTATTTATTATGAATTTCTTAAACAAACTTTAACAACATAAGGGCAGATCCTTTGAGCACTGCTGATGACGCAGTGAAGTGATGCTCGAGTGATCAAGTATTCCAATGTATAAAAAAGCTTTCATTCAATTCCTCCGTCCTCATTTTTTTCCTTGCAGCCTTCCCTCGCGTCCTACAGGGGGTGGAGCTGAGACGCGAGGAAAGGAAACGAGGATGCACAAATAAGAAATGAGAAGCACCCCTTGTTTCTTTCAAACATAGACCATGGCAAGCAGACTTTGGGACAAACAGGAGAACTAAAATGAGGATCAATATCAGCGTGGCATTTTTGAGATGCCGAGAGTTCCACGTCCGCAAAAATCAATGTTATATAACGTTAGCTCAACATGATGAAATGTTAGAATATGGTCAGTATGTTATTCTAATGTTGATCTAGCTTACTGCTAGTTTCGTATAGCAAACGATCTAGCACGTAGTACTGTATAACATTATAACTTTCAACACATTTAAATGCCGTTTAGTGTGATAGTTTAACGTTAGACCAAGTGAAGCAGCGCTGCGTTACCTCACAAGTTTAATTTGTCTAATAAACTGACCTGTGTGAGTAATCCAGCACTTGCGGGTAGTTCGGTATAATTAAATGTCCTTATTCCTTTATATCCGCGGGACTCGCGTGTGATATCTGTCTCTTTAGCAATCGCGACCTGCTTCATACCACTGTAATGTTAAAAAACATGAATGTTTGCACTCATCCATAAACATTATTAGATACATCAGCTTGACAGCAAGTCCCATCATTCAGCTCATCACTGCGTCATCAACCTACGCCTTTGTTATTGTTGGAAACTGCGCCCTATTATGGCGAAAAAATCTTACATATTGTGCCATTAAAACATTAGGAAAATAAAAGTTCATAAATCTTCAGTGCTGCAGATGTTGTCTAGAATTCAGTGGTCAGTATTTTATATTGTTTCCTAAACCATGCCGTTATGCAGCGTGTAATTGGCCATCGATCCTCTCAGCAGAAAGAAAAACAAAACTTTTTTCAATGGATTATATATAGCCTAGAAAGAGCGCTTCCTTTCCAATAACTAAAAGCTGTCACTCATCTCAGTTCACAATCTCACAAAGTTCCATTATAAAAAATAAAGATGTATAAATAAAAATTTGTTAATGAAAGGATTTGCGAACATGCAAAAACTCAACGCAACGCAAGCAACGCTCTACTGTTTGAGCTACAGGAAACCATACTTTGCTAACAATGCTTTTGGGAAACACAACACTGATCCGCACTTCTCTTGCCAGATTGAAGCCATGATAGCAGTTTCATCGAACTTTTCATCATTTCATCCACCAGTAAAATAATATTTTATTCCTCCGCGTACCACTAGAGAGAGCCTGCCACAGTTTGAGAATCAGTGGAATAGAGTCATTTATTAAAGCAGATTTTGCACAAGACTGACTTTTAATATAGCGCAAATAAGAGATTATTTTCCTGATTGAATGATACTTAAGATGTTTTATGTTCATGTTTTGTGACATTTTATATCTCAATCTAATGATCCATCAAACATATTAATTTGTGCTTTTAGTTTGAACTTTCTCTTTAATAATGGATTCACTGCTAAACTGATCTGATCTGAACTGAGAGAGTGAAGAGTGTGTCGTTGTTCTCTACAGGTTGAGGGATTGTGGCGTCACAGATGAAGGTTTTGCTGATCTGACTTCAGCTCTGAGATCAAACCCTGAACACCTGAGAGAACTGAGTCTGTCTGGGAATAAAATAGGAAAATCAGTGAATCTGCTGTCTGATGTACTACAGAATCCTCACTGTAAACTGGAGAAACTGTGGTAAGATCATATTAGACTCTCACACATGAATCACAATGTAAAGTATATTTGAAGTGTTCAGCCTCTTTCTGCTGCTGTGAGTTCAGCTGATTGAGCTGTAAATGATTGAACACATGAGCTGATCCTCAATAACATGAAACTGCAGGACTGAGAGTCACACCGAACTACACACTTTCACACACAATCAAATGTAAAATGAAAACACACACACATTGATACTCCATAGTACAGATCTAAGTAACATATTAAAACACACACACATGCACTAATTGATACTCCATAGGCTAGTTTTACTATGTTACTTAGATCTGTACTATGTAGTGAATAGAGCAGTCATTCTCAATTTTTACACCAAGTAAAACTCAGAAAACATTTGGCTCTCCAAGTATCACCATAATGACCAATATTAAAATACAGTAGTGTAGTTGGCCTAACTATTCAGCTACAGCTATGACCAGCTCAAAACAAGGCAGGTTTATTCCTAATAAGAATTTTTTCAATGTCAGCCACTTTAAACATTGTAAATACACAGTTTAAACATTATCACTGCATTGTGCTGCTTACATGCAGGTAAATAAAAACTTAAATAATGATTCAATTAAAATGTACTGTACCTAAAATTGCTTTCATGCATTCATTGCTAAGAACTTTGCCACATAACACACACTGTGGCCTGGGCTCTTCCTCTCTCCCAGTCCAAATAAATCCAAATTTGATGTAGTTCGAGTCATAATTAGTAATAACTTAATGAATCTGTTTGAGATTGAACTAATGCTAAATGTTTTGCTATAAATTACGGACATGGCATCTGAGGACTATTTCTCTCTTTCTTTTCAGTCATTTTGCTTTATTTCCAGATTCAATCATAGGTTCTTTCTTAAGTAGGCTACTAGAGCACGTACTCACATGCGCACAGTTAAAAAAACAATGCTTTAAATCTCTCGACAAACTAAAAGACGTAAATTATATTTGTATGACATATAAATAAAAGATACAGATTGTACTGTATAGCTTGCTTATTTAGCTCAATATAAGGATTTATTGAGTCCACATGCCATGAAAACTAGAAACTATTCTTCTAACCACAGGTCGAGAGCTGTCGTTCCAACCACACAACTTTGCGATTGTTCGTTAAAACAATGGTTTCGGGAAACACTGACTTGTTGAACTACGTTGATAACAACAGAACTTGCAACCACTTTACATTACATTTATGCATTTGGCAGACGCTTTTATCAAGGTACACATTTACATTCTTATCAGTTCTTGCTTTCCCTGGGAATCGAACCCATGACCTTGACGTTGTAAGCGGCAACGCTCTACTGTTTGAGCTGTTTGAGGAAACCATAGTTGGCTAACAATGCTTTTGGGAAACACAACACTGATCCGCACTTCTCTTGCCAGATTGAAGCCATGATAGCAGTTTTATCGAACTTTTCATCATTTCACCAGTAAAGTAATATTTAATTCAGTGATTCCTCTATTCCACTGATTCTCAAACTGTGGTATGCAGAGTCATTTATTAAAGCAGATTTTTGCACAAGACTGACTTTTAATATAGTGCAAATAAGAGATTATTTTCCTGATTGAATGATACTTAAGATGTTTTATGTTCATGTTTTGTGACATTTTATATCTCAATCTAATGATCCATCAAACATATTAATTTGTGCTTTGAGTTTGAACTTTTTTTAATGGATTCACTGCTAAACTGATCTGATCTGAACTGATAGAGTGAAGACTGTGTCGTTGTTCTCTACAGGTTGAAGGATTGTGGTGTCACAGATGAAGGTTTTGCTGCTCTGACTTCAGCTCTGAGATCAAACCCTGAACACCTGAGAGTACTGGATCTGTCTGGGAATAAAATAGGAGAATCAGTGAATCTGCTGTCTGATGTACTACAGAATCCTCACTGTAAACTGGAGAAACTGGGGTGAGATCATATTTGACTCTCACACATGAATCACAATGTAAAGTATATTTGAAGTGTTCAGTCTCTTTCTGCTGCTGTGAGTTCAGCTGATTGAGCTGTAAATGATTGAACACATGAGCTGATCCTCAATAACATGAAACTGCAGGACTGAGAGTCACACTGAAATACACACTTTCACACACAATCAAATGTAAAATGAAAACACACACACACACATGCATTAATTGATACTCCATAGTACAGATCTAAGTAACATTTTAAAACACACACACACACACACACACACACACACACACACACACACACACACACACACACACACACACACACACACACACACACACACACACACATGCACTAATTGATACTCCATAGGCTAGTTTTACTATGTTACTTAGATCTGTACTATGTAGTGAATAGAGCAGTCAGTCATTCTCAATTTTTACACCAAGTACCACCTCAGAAAACATTTGGCTCTCCAAGTATCACCATAATGACCAATATTAAAATACGGTAGCGTAGTTGGCCTAACTATTCAGCTACAGCTATGACCAGCTCAAAACAAGGCAGGTTTATTCCTCCTGATAAGAATTTTTTTAATGTCAGCCACTTTAAACATTGTAAATACAGTTTAAACCTTAAAGCTGCAAGCAGCATTGAAAGGGCCCTCGCACCCGTGCCACCGCCACCCGGTGGCTTTAGGAAGACAGAGCACGGTGGGAAATGTGCATTTAAGTAGGTAAATATAGGAGGAGTATGTCAAAGTCAGTTACAAAAATGTCCTTTATAATGGGGATAATGATAAAGTTTGGGGCAGATTGGACATTGCCTTCTTAAGTTTCAACAACTTCCTGCTTCATTGCATTAGCATGCTTTAGCACTTAGCTAAGAATTGCTAGCATGTTTTAACATGTTTATAATTCAATGGCATATTTACTATGTTGCTAGTACTGCATCACACTGTTAAACATGTCACTTCCTGTTGCCAGTAGGTGGCGCTATTACTTTAACTGAAAAATGTCATGTAGGTGTGTTCAGGGCAGAACTCTTATCAAACGTGTGAAGTTTGGGGCAAATTGGATATTGCCTTCTTAAGTAACAACAACTTCCTGTTTCATTGCATTAGCATGCTTTAGCACTTAGCTATGAATTGCTAGCATGTTTTAACATGTTTATAATTCAATGGCATATTTAATATGTTGCTAGTACTGCATCACAGTGTTAAACATGTCACTTCCTGTTGCCAGTAGGTGGCGCTATTACTATAACTGAATATTCTCATGTAGATGTGTTCAGGCCATGACTCTTATCAAGCGTGTGAAGTTTGGGGAATATTTGATATTCCATGCCTGAGTTACAGCAAATTCCTATTTAATTGCAGTAATAGCATGCTTTAGCACTTAGCTAAGTGTTTGCTAGCATGTTTTAGCATGTTTCTAGTATGTTGCTATCATGTTTAGTACTTGCTGGCACTTTTTTACATAATATTAGGAGTCCACAACAGTGTTAAACATGTCACTTCCTGTTGCCAGTAGGTGGCGGTATGACTGTAACTGAATATGAGCATGAACATGTGTTCAGGACAGAACTCGTATCAAACGTGTGAAGTTTGGGGCAGATTGGACATTGTTTGCCTGAGTTACAGCAACTTCCTGTTTCATGGCGAAACATCGAAATTTGTCAGGCCGCCAAGGACACGCCCTTCGACGAAAACTCAAGATCTTAGCAATTTAACGTCGCAAATGCCTTAAAGATGAACTGAACTGAAATTCGAAAAACGGTGATATAACAGATCTATTGTATTTATTATCATTGGTACAATTATTAAAATGGTAGAATTTGTTAAAAGGGATAAAACTGTACATTGAAAATGTTGTTTTTGTTACACGGGCGCCGCCATGTTGGATTTCAACATTCGGCTATGTCACTGGCATGGTAGGCTACTCCGTTGCCAACCAACACCAGCAGAGTAGCCATTGCATATAAATAGTCTGAGGCTAGCTGACATGGCTGGGGAAACAAAAACCAACAGGTCTAGGGGGGGTTCATACGGTATTGCCCTTGGCTGTAGTAATGAATTGTATAGGGCTAAGGCAGCTGGGGTTACGATACATTTTCACAGGCTAACATTACCTTTGACAAGGAAACCAGCCGTCATGGTAGAGCCCGAAGCCATTTGTTTTGAGAATAATGGCTGGCTGATGAAGTTATTGGCTGGCTAGCCGGCTCAGCCAAAACCTAAATGGCTGCTGCAGCCGCCAAACTTTTCATAGCGGCAAATGGCTGAAGCAGGTCATTTTGAGAAAACGGGCTTTAAAGATTTATCATCAGCCAATGAGATCGCGCATTCAGTCTTTTTACTTTCACGATTGGTTGCTGATAAAAAGGAAATGACCATATTTGGATCCAACAGGATTGTACAGAAGAGAGAGAGAGCTTCCTAACGGTGCATGTGATGAGAGGGTGACGGCAGAGATCACGGAGAAGTATGTTGATTAAGAACGCAAACTTTTGTTGAATTTATGAGAAATCTACAGACGCAAACAGACGAAGTGTAGTAAAATAAAGACCTAAATGTGTATTTCGGACTTTTTTCACCACAAGTCTGAAAGAAGACATGTTATTAAAGACAAATATCCAAAAATCTCAATATTGACCAGTAAAAAAACCCCGATGTTTTGCCTGCCGTGTCTCGCCTTAATATAAACAGTACACACTGTTATCAGTATTATTTTGGACAAAGTTTTGCACATTTCACTTCAATACACTGAAGCATGCGTCGTGAATTAACGTTGCAATATGGAAACGGTGGTGGTTTGTTACTGCAGTAATATATCACGTTCAGTGCTATATAAGTCTGTGTATAGTAGCGACGAGCACACTGTGCTGTTATGAATCCAGTGGGAAAATAGATCTCGTGTAGCCCTATTGTTTATTTCGTGTGTGTATGTCTCTATATGATAGAATTATTATTTGATGCAAATAATTCTTAGCCTGGTAATACCAGACTCTGCTACTTCACTTTGCTTCGTACACAGAGTCTGGGATAGCATAATAGAGAAGTGTTTTCTCTCTCGCTAGGGGGCGCGTACTGAAGTTTAAAATCATTGGTTACCCGTAAGCCAATCAGATAAGTTTGTTTATTACGTATGTTATGCGCCGACACAGCCGCATCGAACCCAAATCTATGATCGAACTTCCACTGTAAACACTTGATGATGCGAGCGAAATACCCGAGTGAACATGGCTGTAAACGACTTTTTTGATCTGTGAGTGATGTAATAGAATGACTGCTGCGCTTGACAGGGCACAAACGAGCAGAGAGAGAGAGAGAGAGAGAGCCCCGGCCGCGCGCGCGCACTCCCACGTCTACAAACAACACGAGCGCTGTCTTGCTCTCTCTCCCTCGCGCATATTCATAAAAATCAATCGACAAGATAGTAAGAGGTCGGAAGACCGCGGTTTCACGTGGAGCATTTGGAGATTTTTAGAGATTATAGACTCTAGGAACAACATCTCAATGAACAACATCTCAACTATAAAGGCCTGTCTCATATAAGTTAGACGCCTATCTCAAGTAAAAGCCGGTGCAGTTCGACGATTTGGGCAAATAAAAGCCCGGGCTATTATTTGAAGTTTTACGGTATTTAAGACCTGGAAAAGAAAAGAGACACTGACCTGTCAAAAGGCTCCCCAGTTTCTCGCTGACGATCGGTAATAGTTGATAAATTAAACTTTTCCCAAAGGGAGTAGGGCCACAACATCACCTCCATTCAAAATGTTTAATACACACTCTTCGTGTTCGGGCTTCAGTTTGCTAATGCCGGGAATATTCTCCACAACAGAGCGAATTGCATCCGCGTCTCCATATCAGCGGTCGTTTTCGATTTCCCTGACCTTATGGCCCTGTCCCAAATGGCACACTTCATGTGCGCGTGTCCGTTAAGTCCGTGAGACCGTAGTGTGTCCCATTTGTCATTTTTAGATCTCAGAAGGGTGCTCGCGAGCGCCCCTTCTGCGGTCGATTTGCGCCCTTGATGCGCACTTTTGCCGAGCCCACGCTGATGAGGACTCCACAGCAGACTTCTTCCCGACATTCAAAGCGACGTTACGTCGCGAAAGTGCGGACTCAGAGGAAGACCGCGAGTGCTTAGGGTTCCATTTGGGACAGGGCAAATCTTAAACACGGCGCTTACCGACTACGTCACGGCTTTCAGCCCGCCCTCTGTTCGTTGATTGGCCAGGCTGTTTTCAGGCCGGTGGAAAACAGAAAGATAGGCTGCTATCTCAGACTGACTACAGGAGCGAAATGAAATTAGCGGAAGTAGGAAGTCTGACGTAATCAGGCTAAATAATTCTAGCCGGCTCAGCCAAACTTTATCAGATGGCGGCTCAATTTGGCTTATGAAATTATTGGCTGGCGGCGGCTGAAATTCTAAATGGCGCAAATGGCGGCGCCTGGCGGCGGCTTCGGGTTCTACGTCATGGCTAGCAGTTAGCTGCCTTAAAACTGTCTAGCCCTCCGACAGCCCCTGGATTTCGAGTGTGTTGTGAGCATTTTTTAGTGACAGACTATTTAGTAGGCCTGTCGCGATAGTCAATAAATAAATTAATCGCACGACAAAAAAAATTAGCTCGATAATTTTTCCGGCCGCGATAATTTCCATTTGTATGCTTGTTTGTTTTCCTCGTCTCTTTCTCTTTCTCTCTCTCTCTCTCTCTCTCTCTCTCTCTCTCTCTCTCTCTCTCTCTCTCTCTCTCTCTCTCTCTCTCTCCTCTCTCTCTCTCTCTCTCTCTCTCTCTCTCTCTCTCTCTCTCTCTCTCTCTCTCTCTCTCTCTCTCTCTCTCTCTCTCTCTCTCTCTCTCTCTCTCTCTCTCTCTCTCTCTCTCTCTCTCTCTCTCTCTAGCAAAGAGACTGGATGACAACTCTCGGTTCCTTAGCGTAGGAAGAGTGAACTAGAGCTTATTCTGCCCGGGCGATATTTCCCGACACTATCCTTGAGACGTGCACTCCCAACGCAATAGAGTGCTGCGCGGCACTAGATCTGATGGCCGAGACTCTTCGAGTGCCAGCGCGGGCGGTAATGCACTCACTCTGTGTGTGCGGGTTATAAATAAAACGATTCGCGAGACTCCCGCGAACTAGAAATATCTATGAATAAAACATAAAAACTAATAGATTTTTATTCATCTGTTGCAGAAAAGCAACAAGAACAACTAAAACAGAATAGAAACGATTTACAGGCCAGAGTTTCATAACATTCTATTCATAACAACGCTATAACATCGCGTTGAGTGATGTAGCCAATCACAGTTATATGTGTTGCTTCTGATTGGCCATTGCGTTCAAGAAATCATTTAAAATAGACTCCCTTTTTGGTATTTATTCAAGTGCATTTTTTTGTTACAGAGACTGTTCTCTGCAACAGATTGACTCCGGTGCAGTGTCCATGCTCCGGCAGCTCACACACCCACACCAGTCACTTCGCCCCAAACGATCGTGTGCTGTAGGCTATGTGGAGCCTGAAACTGATCCTCCATGTGGTGGTGGTAGTCAGAAACTACTGGACTGTCCCTCACAGGTTCAAATAAGTAACCCATGCCGTTAAAAGTGCTCATTTTCGTCTGTGTATTAGGACCTGCAGCTGTTGCCTATGCACCTTTGCGTGTCCTACCATGCCAGTGACGTCATCGAAACTGCCAGCGTAATAAGCGCAATTTTTGTGTTGCTTAAAAAAAGCTATATTGATATTTTTAATTAAAATTTTTAGTGTAATTTACTTTTAATTGTCATAAACAACACGTTATCAACGTCGATTTTTTTCAGTTCAGTTTATCTTTAAGATTACACTCACCAAATTTGAAGATGATCAGATTAAAACTGTAGGAGGAGTTCGTTAAAGTACGAGGCCTGAAAATGACAAAAACTGCACAAAAATCTGAGAGGAAGTTCAAAATGGCTGACTTCCTGTTGTGTTTAGGGCTATCCTCCAAGATACTTTTTTGTAGGTATTGGGCCATTACATGTATGTACCGAATTTCGTACACGTACGAACCTACGTTCAGAAACGTAGCAGGAGGCGCACTCCGTTGAAACTTTATAGGTGGTGCTATCGAGCCATTTTGCCCCGCCCAATTCTAAAACGCATATTAGATGTACACTGATACCCCCCTCCTTGAACTGCCACCTTAACGTGGTGGAGGGGTTTGAGTACCCGAATGACCCTAGGAGCTATGTTGTCTGGGGCTATATGCCCCTGGTAGGGTCTCCTAAGGCAAACAGGTCCTAGGCGACGGGTCTGACTAAGAGCGGTTCAAAATCCCCTTATGATGGACAAACATCCAAGGACCGTGACGTCGCCCGGTATGGCGCAGCCGGGGCCCCACCCTGGAGCCAGGCCCGGGGTTGGGGCTCGTATGCGAGCGCCTGGTGGCCGGGCCTCTCCCCACGGGGTCCGGCCGGGCTCAGCCCGAAGGAGTTACGTGGGTCCGCCTTCCCGTGGCCTCACCACCTGCAGGAAGAGCCGTAAGGGGCCGGTGCAGAGAGGATTGGGTGGCAGTCGAAGGCGGGGACCTCGGCGACCCGATCCCTGGACACGGAAACTAGCCTTAGGGACGTGGAACATCACCTCGCTGGCGGGGAAGGAGCCTGAGATGGTGCGTGAGGTTGAGAGGTTCCGACTAGAGATAGTCGGGATCACCTCTACGCATGGCTTGGGCTCTGGAACCACACTCCTTGAGAGAGGATGGACTCTTCACCACTCTGGAGTTGCCCATGGTGAGAGGCGACGGGCTGGTGTGGGTTTGCTTATAGCCCCCCAGCTCAGCAGCATGTGTTGGAGTTTACCCCGGTGAATGAGAGGGTCGTTTCCCTGCGCCTACGGGTCGGGGATAGGTCTCTCACTGTCGTGTGTGCCTACGGGCCAAACGGCAGTGCAGAGTACCCGGCCTTCTTGGGGTCTCTGGGAGGAGTGCTGGAAAGTGCTCCGACCGGGGACTCAGTCGTTCTACTGGGGGACTTCAACGCTCACGTGGGCAGCGACAGTGACACCTGGAGGGGCGTGATTGGGAGGAACGGCCCCCCCGACCTGAACCCGAGCGGTGTTCAGTTATTGGACTTCTGTGCTAGTTACAGTTTGTCCATAATGAACACCATGTTCAAGCATAAGGGTGTCCACCAGTGCACGTGGCACCGGGACACCCTAGGTCGCAGGTCGATGATCGACTTTGTGGTCGTTTCCTCTGACCTGCGGCCGTATGTCTTGGACACTCGGGTGAAGAGAGGGGCGGAGCTGTCAACTGATCACCACCTGGTGGTGAGTTGGATCCGATGGCGGGGGAGGAGGCTGGACAGACTCGGCAGACCCAAGCGTACTGTAAGGGTTTGCTGGGAACGTTTGGCCGAGTCTCCTGTCAGAGAGATCTTCAAGTCCCACCTCCGGCGGAGCCACGACCGGATCCCGAGGGAGGCTGGAGATATTGAGTCTGAGTGGACCTTGTTCTCCACCAATGCTAACAATGCTTTTGGGAAACACAACACTGATCCGCACTTCTCTTGCCAGATTGAAGCCATGATAGCAGTTTCATCGAACTTTTCATCATTTCATCCACCAGTAAAATATTTTATTCCTCCGCGTACCACTAGAGAGAGCCTGCCACAGTTTGAGAATCAGTGGAATAGAGTCATTTATTAAAGCAGATTTTGCACAAGACTGACTTTTAATATAGCGCAAATAAGAGATTATTTTCCTGATTGAATGATACTTAAGATGTTTTATGTTCATGTTTTGTGACATTTTATATCTCAATCTAATGATCCATCAAACATATTAATTTGTGCTTTTAGTTTGAACTTTCTCTTTAATAATGGATTCACTGCTAAACTGATCTGATCTGAACTGAGAGAGTGAAGAGTGTGTCGTTGTTCTCTACAGGTTGAGGGATTGTGGCGTCACAGATGAAGGTTTTGCTGCTCTGACTTCAGCTCTGAGATCAAACCCTGAACACCTGAGAGAACTGAATCTGTCTGGGAATAAAATAGGAAAATCAGTGAATCTGCTGTCTGATGTACTACAGAATCCTCACTGTAAACTGGAGAAACTGTGGTAAGATCATATTAGACTCTCAAACATGAATCACAATGTAAAGTATATTTGAAGTGTTCAGCCTCTTTCTGCTGCTGTGAGTTCAGCTGATTGAGCTGTAAATGATTGAACACATGAGCTGATCCTCAGTAACATGAAACTGCAGGAACATGCAACACCGAAATACACACTTTCACACACAATCAAATGTAAAATGAAAACACACACACATTGATACTCCATAGTACAGATCTAAGTAACATATTAAAACACACACACATGCACTAATTGATACTCCATAGGCTAGTTTTACTATGTTACTTAGATCTGTACTATGTAGTGAATAGAGCAGTCATTCTCAATTTTTACACCAAGTACCACCTCAGAAAACATTTGGCTCTCCAAGTATCACCATAATGACCAATATTAAAATACAGTAGTGTAGTTGGCCTAACTATTCAGCTACAGCTATGACCAGCTCAAAACAAGGTAGGTTTATTCCTAATAAGAATTTTTTCAATGTCAGCCACTTTAAACATTGTAAGTACACAGTTTAAACATTATCACTGCATTGTGCTGCTTACATGCAGGTAAATAAAAACTTAAATAATGATTCAATTAAAATGTACTGTACCTAAAATTGCTTTCATGCATTCATTGCTAAGAACTTTGCCACATAACACACACTGCGGCCTGGCCTGGGCTCTTCCTCTCTCCCAGTCCAAATAAATCCAAATTTGATGTAGTTCGAGTCATAATTAGTAATAACTTAATGAATCTGTTTGAGATTGAACTAATGCTAAATGTTTTGCTATAAATTACGGACATGGCATCTGAGGACTATTTCTCTCTTTCTTTTCAGTCATTTTGCTTTATTTCCAGATTCAATCATAGGTTCGTTCTTACGTAGGCTACTAGAGCACGTACTCACATGCGCACAGTTAAAAAAACAATGCTTTAAATCTCTCGACAAACTAAAAGACGTAAATTATATTTGTATGACATATAAATAAAAGATACAGATTGTACTGTATAGCTTGCTTATTTAGCTCAAGATAAGGATTTATTGAGTCCACATGCCATGAAAACTAGAAACTATTCTTCTAACCACAGGTCGAGAGCTGTCGTTCCAACCACACAACTTTGCGATTGTTCGTTAAAACAATGGTTTCGGGAAACACTGACTTGTTGAACTACGTTGATAACAACAGAACTTGCAACCACTTTACATTACATTTATGCATTTGGCAGACGCTTTTATCAAGGTACACATTTACATTCTTATCAGTTCTTGCTTTCCCTGGGAATCGAACCCATGACCTTGACGTTGTAAGCGGCAACGCTCTACTGTTTGAGCTGTTTGAGGAAACCATAGTTGGCTAACAATGCTTTTGGGAAACACAACACTGATCCGCACTTCTCTTGCCAGATTGAAGCCATGATAGCAGTTTTATCGAACTTTTCATCATTTCACCAGTAAAGTAATATTTAATTCAGTGATTCCTCTATTCCACTGATTCTCAAACTGTGGTATGCAGAGTCATTTATTAAAGCAGATTTTGCACAAGACTGACTTTTAATATAGTGCAAATAAGAGATTATTTTCCTGATTGAATGATACTTAAGATGTTTTATGTTCATGTTTTGTGACATTTTATATCTCAATCTAATGATTCATTAGATTGAGATATAAAATGTCACAAAACATGAACATAAATGATCCATCAAACATAATTTGTGCTTTAAGTTTGAACTTTTTTTAATGGATTCACTGCTAAACTGATCTGATCTGAACTGATAGAGTGAAGACTGTGTCGTTGTTCTCTACAGGTTGAAGGATTGTGGCGTCACAGATGAAGGTTTTGCTGCTCTGACTTCAGCTCTGAGATCAAACCCTGAACACCTGAGAGTACTGGATCTGTCTGGGAATAAAATAGGAGAATCAGTGAATCTGCTGTCTGATGTACTACAGAATCCTCACTGTAAACTGGAGAAACTGGGGTAAGATCATATTAGACTCTCACACATGAATCACAATATAAAGTATATGTGAAGTGTTCAGCCTCTTTCTGCTGCTGTGAGTTCAGCTGATTGAGCTGTAAATGATTGAACACATGAGCTGATCCTCAGTAACATGAAACTGCAGGACTGAGAGTCACACTGAAATACACACTTTCACACACAATCAAATGTAAAATGAAAACACACACACATATGCATTAATTGATACTCCATAGTACAGATCTAAGTAACATATTAAAACACACACGCACACACACATGCACTAATTGATACTCCATAGGCTAGTTTTACTATGTTACTTAGATCTGTACTATGTAGTGAATAGAGCAGTCATTCTCAATTTTTACACCAAGTACCACCTCAGAAAACATTTGGCTCTCCAAGTATCACCATAATGACCAATATTAAAATACAGTAGCGTAGTTGGCCTAACTATTCAGCTACAGCTATGACCAGCTCAAAACAAGGCAGGTTTATTCTTAATAAGAATTTTTTTAATGTCAGCCACTTTAAACATTGTAAATACACAGTTTAAACATTATCACTGCATTGTGCTGCTTACATGCAGGTAAATAAAAACTTAAATAATGATTCAATTAAAATGTACTGTACCTAAAATTGCTTTCATGCATTCATTGCTAAGAACTTTGCCACATAACACACACTGCGGCCTGGGCTCTTCCTCTCTCCCAGTCCAAATAAATCCAAATTTGATGTAGTTCGAGTCATAATTAGTAATAACTTAATGAATCTGTTTGAGATTGAACTAATGCTAAATGTTTTGCTATAAATTACGGACATGGCATCTGAGGACTATTTCTCTCTTTCTTTTCAGTCATTTTGCTTTATTTCCAGATTCAATCATAGGTTCGTTCTTACGTAGGCTACTAGAGCACGTACTCACATGCGCACACTTAAAATAACAATGCTTTAAATCTCTCGACAAACTAAAAGACGTAAATTATATTTGTATGACATCCAAATAAAAGATACAGATTGTACTGTATAGCTTGCTTATTTAGCTCAATATAAGGATTTATTGAGTCCACATGCCATGAAAACTAGAAACTATTCTTCTAACCACAGGTTGAGAGCTGTCGTTCCAATCACACAACTTTGCGATTGTTCGTTAAAACAATGGTTTCGGGAAACACTGACTTGTTGAACTACGTTGATAACAACAGAACTTGCAACCATTTTACATTACATTTACCCATTTGGCAGACGCTTTTATCAAGGTACACATTTACATTCTTATCAGTTCTTGCTTTCCCTGGGAATCGAACCCATGACCTTGACGTTGTAAGCGGCAACGCTCTACTGTTTGAGCTGTTTGAGGAAACCATAGTTGGCTAACAATGCTTTTGGGAAACACAACACTGATCCGCACTTCTCTTGCCAGATTGAAGCCATGATAGCAGTTTTATCAAACTTTTCATCATTTCACCAGTAAAGTAATATTTAATTCAGTGATTCCTCTATTCCACTGATTCTCAAACTGTGGTATGCAGAGTCATTTATTAAAGCAGATTTTGCACAAGACTGACTTTTAATATAGTGCAAATAAGAGATTATTTTTCCTGATTGAATGATACTTAAGATGTTTTATGTTCATGTTTTGTGACATTTTATATCTCAATCTAATGATCCATCAAACATATTAATTTGTGCTTTTAGTTTGAACTTTCTTTTAATGGATTCACTGCTAAACTGATCTGATCTGAACTGATAGAGTGAAGACTGTGTCGTTGTTCTCTACAGGTTGAGGGATTGTGGCGTCACAGATGAAGGTTTTGCTGCTCTGACTTCAGCTCTGAGATCAAACCCTGAACACATGAGAGTACTGAATCTGTCTGAGAATAAAATAGGAAAATCAGTGAATCTGCTGTCTGATGTACTACAGAATCCTCACTGTAAACTGAAGAAACTGGGGTGAGATCATATTAGACTCTCACACATGAATCACAATGTAAAGTATATTTGAAGTGGTCAGCCTCTTTCTGCTGCTGTGAGTTCAGCTGATTGAGCTGTAAATGATTGAACACATGAGCTGATCCTCAGTAACATGAAACTGCAGGACTGAGAGTCACACTGAAATACACACTTTCACACACAATCAAATGTAAAACGAACACACACACACACACACACACACACACACACACACACACACACACACACACACACACACACACACACACACACACACACACACACACACACACACACACACAGCTGTGTTTTTGTGATATATGAGGACATTCCATAGGCGTAATGACTTTTATACTGGACAAACTGTATATTCTATCCCCCTACACTGCCCCTATCCCTAAACCTACCCATCACAGGAGACATGCTGCATTTTTACATTTAAAAAAAAAACATTGTTTTTTATGTTTTTTAAGCTATTTGAAATATGAGGACTCATGCAATGTCCTCATATATCACGTGTAAGTTGTAATACCAGTGTAATATGCATGTCATTATACACATTTGAGTCCTCATATATCACAAAAACAAAAGCACACACACACACACACACACACACACACACACACACACACACACACACACACACACACACTAATTGATACTCCATATACATATTACATAGTACAGATCTCAGTAAATCTAATCTATGTAGTGAATAGAGTCATTTATTAAAGCAGATTTTGCACAAGACTGACTTTTAATATATAGTGCAAATAATAGATTATTGTTCCTGATTGAATGATACTGTAACAACCCGCACGGTGTTCGCGAGAGGCAGAGACCAGCACACTAGGATGGCAGTTAACACAACTCTTTATTAATGGTTAAAACAATGTCAGCTCATAAAACACATTACCCCCCTTGCTCAGTATATTGATCCACAACCAGACGAGCTCACGTCCTGGCGAGAAGGATACACAGGAAATCTCTGTTCAGTCCATTGGTCAGCAGGCACACTCAAGAGGATCCAAGAGGTTCAGCAAAGAGGATACCCAGGACAGGAGCCTTTCGGTTGCGTCACTCGGCTGACAGTATCAGTTTCTCCAAACTCTCTATTGCTTGCAACTATCACACCGATTAGGAGCTCTCCTAGCCCGAAGTCGCGTCCCTGACTATCTGGCACATTTACCCCCCACTGACTGTCTATCTTCACCGCCGGAGACACTAATCATCCCGAGCGGCCGTCTGGCGTTTCCCCACAAGTGAGAGCTCCCCCGAATCTCTCTCGAGCAGTACTCACAACATCCTTAAATAATCATCAACTCCTCCCACATCAGCTGTTCCTTTTAAGTCAATTACGCAACACTCATTCGTTTAGATTAAGAGGGGCGTGTACATTAATCCCACCTAAATTCCAATCATTTCCTTATTCATCACACTACTTTAGATGTTGTATGATCATGTTTTGTGACATGTTATATCTCAATCTAATGATCCATCAAACATATTAATTTGTGCTTTAAAGGGGTCATATAATGCCATTTTTGTACAAGCTAATATGATTCTTTAGAGTCTAAATTAAAAGTTTGTAATATACTTTAATTAAAAATTCTCATTAGTATTGTAAGAAAACACTTATTTTACCTGGTCAAAAACAGCTCTGTTTTCAGCACGCCGTTTCAGTGCATATGACTTTAAATGATAATGAGCTTTGCTCACCCCGCCTCTCTGTTCTGTGCTACACCATTTGTAACACAATAACACAATAACCATAACGCGTTGTTCAGTTTAAACGTGGAATTATGAATTATATTGAGAACGTCATACATAGAAAACATGCCGTAATGTACCCTGACTGAGTGTAAACCTTAGACGCATTCATTGTGAAGCGTGCAGCTAGCAATTTGCAAAGATTAATATATTAATATAAAGTTTAATAAAACGTTTCACTCACTTCCGTTCTTCTGGAGATTCAGCAGGAACACGAATATCTGGTACCGATCCTTTTTAGCAAAGCTTCTTAGCAAATTCAGCTTTATACTGATCCTCGTTTATAAAGCAGTCTGGTGTGTGAAATGATTCGCGCAAACATGAGAGCATTGAAGTTGCTCGTGGGGAATATTCCCTTCGAAAACAAACTCAGCCACTGTGTCTTCAGCGGTTCGGATTTAGGAACATTAAAATGACTGCTGTGTTCGTTATTACACCCAAGAACAGAACACCACAATCGCTTAGACGCCATTCTGCTCATAGACAGTGCTCCAGCATATCAACAATGACCGTGCCGGTCCGCGCAGACTATGATTGACAGCTCGCTCCCTCACGAGCGAGGGCGGGTCTGTGTTAAAACGCTCCCGTCAATCAACAATCGTGGGAGGGGCGTCCGTTTTATTGACGTCACAAAAACGAACGGCTCAATTTGAGGCAGGGGAAAACATATAAGGAGATTAAAACAAAAACACTGGATGGATTTTTATCATTACATGATGGTTGTGTACAGACACTGCCAACACACATTTCAGTACAATCAACTTGTAAAAGTGCATGTACCATTATATGACCCCTTTAAGTTTGAACTTTTTTTAATGGATTCACTGCTAAACTGATCTGATCTGAACTGAGAGAGTGAAGAGTGTGTCGTTGTTCTCTACAGGTTGAGGGATTGTGGCGTCACAGATGAAGGTTTTGCTGCTCTGACTTCAGCTCTGAGATCAAACCCTGAACACCTGAGAGAACTGAATCTGTCTGAGAATAAAATAGGAGAATCAGTGAATTGGCTGTCTGATGTACTACAGAATCCTCACTGTAAACTGGAGAAACTGGGGTAAGAATATATTAGACTCTCACACATGAATCACAATGTAAAGTATATTTGAAGTGTTCAGCCTCTTTCTGCTGCTGTGAGTTCAGCTGATTGAGCTGTAAATGATTGAACACATGAGCTGATCCTCAATAACATGAAACTGCAGAACTGAGAGTCACACTGAAATACACACTTTCACACACAATCAACATTTCAGTCTCTTGACTTTAAACAGACTCGAGTTCAACACAGTCAGAACTCAGAAATGAAGAACATGCTGGATTTATTCTTACTGTTAATTATTATGTTCATCTTTCTGCATTGACTCTTTCTAAAATGTTTTTAAACTTGTGTTTGTACACACACACACACACACACACACACAAATTGATACTCCACACAGATCTTAGTAACAGTAAAACTAACCTATGTTGTGAATAGTGTCATTTATTAAACCGATTTTGCACAAGACAGACAAAATATGATCATGTTTTGTGACATTTTAGGTCTTAATCCAATGATCAAACATTAATTTCTGCTTTTAAGTTTGAACTTTCTCTTTAATAATGGATTGATTGCTGATTTGATCTGAACTGAGAGAGTGAAGAGTGTGTCGTTGTTCTCTACAGGTTGAGTCATTGTGGCGTCACAGATGAAGGTTGTGTTGCTCTGGCTTCAGCTCTGAGATCAAACCCTGAACACCTGAGAGTACTGGATCTGTCATTTAATAAACTAGGACATTCAGGAGTGAAGTTGCTCTCTGTTCTGAAGGATGATCCACATTATAAACTGAAGGAACTAGTTTACTGTGAGTATATTTTTATTTCAAGCCTTTAAATTGACCCAATTTCAGTAATAGGCCTCATATGTGTGAAACTGGAGAATAAAAGATAATAATTCAGCTCCACTTTAGTCTCTGTAAAGCAGTGATCATCAACTGGCGGCCCGCCAAGCCGTTCGATCCGGCCCGCGACTGGATTCCAAAATGCAGCGGCACAGACGCGCGAGCTGGTCGAGCTCGAGCACATCCCTTCAAACAGACATCAGTGGAAAGTTTGTAGTTCAGTCGGATGTCAATGGCAAAGAAGATTAAAACGAGTCATCTAGCTTATTATTTACGTTAACTGACGAGAGAGAGAGAGCGCGCGCGCGCACTTCTGTTGAATGCTCCTGATCGTTCACTCAGCACGTGTTATTTGAATGAAAACTAAATCGTATATGTAAGTAAAGTAAAACATGACCTGTTACCTGATTTATGTATAACAAATGGTTCCCTACATTATTACTGGACGTGTGCAGGTCAAGAAGTTCCATGAACGCAAACATCCAAAGCGCGCTCCGCAAACCATCGCCTCAGCGCTCGAATACTAAAAATTGTCTTTCACGTCACAAAATTATGTAAAAACGCCCGTCTTGGCGAGTATCCTAGTAAACAAAGTTGGTTATATCTCATGTGAACGTAGCCATGTTCAAATGTGCGTTCGGTCTTAAAGGGGCAGCACTTTAATATACCTGCTACTGTGTTTTAATGTTAATCAAACAAAGGACAAATAAATTACTCACTGCTCTTGACTAAATGGTCTACCCTTTTCAACTTTACAAAAATATCCATCTATATTTAATTTACAATAATGAATATGCAATTTTTTGACATTTGATTACTGTATTCAAATGTATGTACCAATCTACCCGAAAAACTCTAAAAACACTGTTTATTTCATTTGTAGCTTTTCTTTGTTCTATTGTATTTATTTGTCCTATTTGTAATTCGATTATTTTTTCTTATTTTGTTACTGACTGCTTACTTTTATTGGGCTGGTAGTTTTTGTTGTAGTATCAAAATTGGATTAAATAACTGGTATTTCACTGGTGTCTAAACATTTGTACCACTGACCCAATCTCAGCGCTGAGCCCTGCTGGAGCAGCTCTAAATATGTGCTGTGCTATTAAATGCAAGATAAAATATGACAGAGTAATAGAATGAACAGTGACAGAAACAGAAGCATGCTTTTTAGAAGGATTAATTAAGCAAGAAAATATCTAAAGGAAATATATATTTGATGAACAAATTAAGCCAACTAATATGATTTATATTCTTTTGGTTTATCTACTAATACATTTAAAAATTACAAATGCAGTGAAAATTCAGGGATCGGTTACGGTATCGATATCGGCGAGTACCACAAATGAAAGTATTGGTATCGGTCTCGTTCTCGTTCTGCAAAAAGTGGTATCGGTGCATCCCTAATTGAAAATATTTAACGGGTGAGGGTGAGGGGGGAGCAGCTCCCTATTTTGTTGTTTTGCGATGCTAGCAGCACTACACAGATCACGGCAAATCATGCCAACTTAAGGTTAGCTGTCGTCGCACCATCTCAGCAGCAAACCAGTGCAATATTTGAAGCACATTTAGAGATGTGATGAAATAAATTGCTGTTTTGGGATAGTAATTTCACTGCTTAAGTCTGCGTGTGTGAGAATGTGTGTTTGTGGGTAAGTGTGTGTGATGTGACACACTTTATTATAAATTTTTTTTTTAATGTTTATTGTTGTTAAATGTCATTTGTTTTTAAGAAGTGCCAAGGTTTTTCTTCACCTTATTAGGGCTAAGGGCTAACGTTATGGTTAGGATAACTCGAGGGCTAGGGTTAAGATAAGGACAACTGAAACTCAACTCGACACTAATATTGTCATTGTCAATTTTTTTTTTTTTTTGTAATGATCACAATTAAACATTAGTGTACCTAATATGTATGATGTGTGTGACAGTGTCACACTTATACCTTATAGTAAGTAGTAAGTGGTGCTTTGCATACCCCTCCCACACCCCCCAAAAAAGGGCTGCTGCTTGATGTCGTGTTGGTAGTAAAAAATATTCTGGAGGTAGTAAAAAAGGTAGTAAAAGGTAGTAAATTCATCTCTATGATTCCTGCATAAACCCTGTTGAAGTGGACTAGACCATTAGCATTTCTCAAAAAAAAAATGACCAAAGAGTTTCGATATTTTTCCTATTTAAAACTTGACTCTTCTGTAGTTACATCGTGCACTAAGACCGACGGAAAATGTAAAGTTGCGATTTTCTAGGCTGATATGGCTAGGAACTATACTCTCATTCCTGCGTAGTAATCAAGAAACTTTACTGCCGTACCATGAGTGTAGCAGGCGTAATGATATGACGCAGCGCCTGAAAATAGTCCCCAGCTCGGCAACTTACAACATGACCGGGACTAAGTGCCTGCGCCTGCTCCACTCATGGTACACACTGATGATTGTTGTTTGGATCTTTCTGAATGCCATAAGTTTAATCATGTAAAGTGCTGCGAGAAAAGCCTATACATCTAAACATCTTGTCACGCGCAGTATAGCCGGCTAGCCGAAACTCCTTCTTTATGTGTACGGGTGTGACGTAATGACGCAAAGACATGCTCGAATTTCCCGCGGAAACCCACCAGTACCACTGGAATTAAAATCATTATTACAAGCTAACCGTTTTGAATCTAGCTATGGCAAGCAGATAGTTTTGACCACTGGCAGAATACGTTTTTTTTTTATATAATTATTTTGGATTATTTTTAACTTAAAAAAGCTACGGACTGCAGCTTTAACATTTGTTTTTTATTTCAAAGTCTCAACAACATGCTTGGAACTAGCAAACTCCTCAGGACTAAAAAAGGAGGAAAAAATGATCTGGCACAATTTAAAATAGCATGGTAAATAAATAGCCTGGAACCAGAACAAAACAGGTCACAAACATTGTTCGCACAGCAAATAAAACGTTAAGTGGGCTATAGCGAAATCAAATCACAAGGCTGAAATGGACTATTACAACACTAATTAATCAATGGCTGAAGTTACATTTCCCCTCTGACACTAACTTTTTCACATCAGGCTTGGCCGCTGTCAGACTTATGTGCAAACAGTCCTCCAAAGACTGAGTTGACAGACGGTTCCTCTCGTGCGTTTTAATCGAGTTCATCTTGGAGAACGCAGCCTCACAGGTGTAGGTTGAACCGAACATGGTGAGCACATACATAGCCAGCGTCTTCAATGTGCCATAGACCTCGGGACAAGATATCCAAAACGCGCTCAGGCTTTCAGCACCACTGAGAGCAGCCTTCATGTCGCCTGCGGCCTGAATTTCAGCCAGCTCGCTCTGAATGGCTGCCTCGTCCAACTGCAGCATTTTCACCGCGTTTGTGGAGAATTCTCCGCTTGGGGTGATGGTGAATGGGTCACGCACAAATCCAATGACATCCCTGGAAATAAAAAAGTCATCAAATCTAGCAGAGAAGTTGTCTTTTAATTGTGTGATAAACATCTTCATCTTGTCTGTTACGTTGCCTTCTCCCACCGTCTTCAGTGTGTTGAAGTGCAGCAGCCTCCCTGACAACAAATCTGCGTGGAACAGATCAAGTTTGTTCCCAAAGGCTTCAAGTTTTTCCACCAAATCCACCACTGATTTTTCTTTTCCTTGCAGCTGTAGATTAAGTGTATTTAAATGGGAGAAAATGTCTGTTAAAAATGCAACGTTGCACATGTATCCCATGTCTTGCAAGATGCGGAGATGGTCAGCTACCGCTTTGGACTTACTTTGTTTTAAAAAATCCACTACTTGGGTACGGAGTTCAACGAAGCGCTCCAGTGCTTTGCCCTTACTCAGCCAGCGCACGTCAATGTGGAGTAACAGGTCATCATGAGAAGCCTGGGATTCCAGCACGAATTTGCGGAACAGGCGGTGCTGCATGCTTGAAATTCCTCTGATGTGGTTAATAATTTTCATTGTTTTTTCCATCACCTCTTTGAGCTCCCCACTTAGCTTTGCGCACAGCACACTTTGATGGATGATACAATGGAGTGCATTAGTTTTTAGTAGCGACAGTCTTTATTCTGCTCACCAGACCCTTATTTTTTCCAATCATGGCAGGTGCACCATCTGTCACTGTCAGGTTGATTTTATCCAGGGACAATCCATGGCTTTTAAAAAAATCCTCCAGTTTTCCAAAGATGATGTCAGCAGTGGTGTTGTCCTCGTGTGGAAGCAATGCCAGCAGCTCTTCTCGGAAATCTTTGCCATCATAGTATCTGACAAAAACGCACAACTGTGAGATATCCGTGTTGTCAGTGGACTCTTCAATAGCCAGCGAAATATATTTGGCTTCCTTGACCCCGTCAATGACAGCTCGCTGAACTTGCTCCGCCAAAACGTGTACACGACGTGCATTAGTTGAGGCAGATAGAGGTACTTGTTTGACAGATGCAATAACTCTGTCCATTGATTTGTCGGGGGCAAGTTCCTCCAGAACGGTGATCATGCACTCCTTTAAAACCTCACTTTCAGTGAAAGGCCGGTTATGTCTGCAAAGCACCCAAGCAGCCTGCAGGGATGCACACGTTACTCTCTCTTGATCAGTTAAAGTTCGAGTAATAATGCCACTTGCGTGGGAGAAGGCAGATTTCAGTGCGGCGATTTTTCTCTGACGCGCCTCTGACTGCTCAGGATATGAAATCTTAAAATTTGAATGTTTAGTGTGGTGGTGACGGCGCAGATTGTATTCTTTTGCAACAGCAACAGTTTCGTTGCAAATTAGGCATACTGGTGAGGCATTCCGGAAGGTTGGCATGATAAATCATTGAAGGACCTGTTTTCAATATCAACTTTGCATTTCATAGCCTTTGAGAGTGCCATTTTACCTCTGTTAAGAGACCCTTTCCTGTCACTTCCTCAGTGTTTGTTTTTCAAGTGCTCTATAAGTAAAATTGACTTAATTGAGTTGAGGCAAAATATCTATCACCCCTAGTGGTTGTCTGTGGTATAGGTGATAGGAACCTGACTCATAAAGGCCTTCAGTTTTGGAATGAAATGGAAAAAGTATTAACAATAAACATCAATCATAATGTTATACCAAACTTTGATTTTTTATTTAATTTTTATTTAAGGGTCCGGCCCCCGAGGAGACTGTCTGGTAAAATTCTGGCCCTCTGACAAATATAGTTGATGACCCCTGCTGTAAAGCTTTTTTAATAAGAGTTTAATTCTGTGATGTGAATATGATTATGAATAGACTAGGTCTAAATATTTTCATCTCTTACATGTTTACATGCTCAACTTTTGTTTCAATTGGATTTAATTAATTCAGATTGATAAATCCAAATGTAGTGTTTACATGAACGATAAATAGAATTATCGTGTTGATGTGTGCGTTTATATAGGTTATCACAAACTTCAAATCGGAATTGAGATTTTGACATGCACACACTGCACGAATATTCCCCGCTGTTTGCACATACTGTTCTCCTACATTGTTTGTTTGTTTCAAACAGCAGACTTAATAATTATATATTACGGGTCGGGTCCTCATTAGGAGACAATGAGCAAATGAACCGTTGTGCCGCTTATATTTATCAGGCAGTAAAAACACATATGCCTGCACCCAAAACAGCCTGTGGATGAGAGTATGACAGAAGGACCGGTGGGACGATGTCCTGCTCCACTTCACAGATTAAAGAATGGAAGGAGAATTTTTGAATGACACGAATATGTACGAATAGCCGTGAGATTGCGTTGGTCATTCATGACATATTCAACATTTTACAACAGCTCTTACGCGTCATACGTCATTACGCACACGCACAGCACTTTCCAGTTTTGGTTTTCAATCTGATCAAGTGTTCATATGTCCTCTCGATCGGATTGTGTGTGTGTGTGTGTGTGTGTGTGAGTGAGTGAGTGAGAGAGTTATAATTTACTGTCATTAATCTATTAGTTTTTCATTACTATCTCTGGCTGTATGAATATACATGATCTCCAGATGTGATGTGACAGCAGTAATGTCTCACACTCATATGTGTCTGACTGTGTGTTTTATTGTAGGACTCTCAGTATTTAGACGTCAGTCCAGTTTCCTCAGGATCAGCTGATGGTGAATAAGGAGCCGCTACAGAGACTGAAGACACAGAGACACACAGCGATCACACTGACGTGTGTGTGTGACTTCACACCAGTCTCTTGTTTTGTAGTAATGGCTCATGAAAATGAGTGCTGAAAACAGCAGCTTTGAATTGTTTAAAAAATCTGAGACTACAGAAAAGATCAATGTTGTAAATTTTTCTACCAGCAGAAGGATACAAAGATGAACATTTATTTCTGTAAAATATTTATTAATATTTATCTATTTTTGTATATGACTAGCTATAAAAGTTTCCACCTAAATCTTCATATTCTTTTACTGGTTTATTTTCCCTCCTGCCTCTGAACACCATTAACTACTAATTGCTATATGTTGACACTTATTCTTCTTGATGGCAAGTATTTCTAAAGTCAACAACAAAAATCAGTGATATGACAGACACTCTTGCTTAATTTCTTACTTTATATTAGGAAAAGACCTGCCTTCTGTCAAAGAAACAGGAATTATGAAATGCAATGAAATATTTTTAATTTCTGTAACGGTGGCTTTACCAAACCAGTATGGGTTTTCAATAAGGCTAGGTTTGGTTTAAAATCATTCGGGCGCCAGACAAGTTCAACTTGTCAAGAAAACAAAATATATATGCTGGATAGCTCCAACCACTGTTACATACAAAAAAATAATAATAAACTGATACCCACAATTCAATTTTCACAGAGTTTGTATTATTTTTTTGTTCACATGTCAAAACAAAAGAAACAATTTCAAGTTCACATTCAAATATTCCCACAAAGAGAAATCATGAGAGTTATTGGATCACAAGTGTCCATAAGTTCGCTATTTGTTTGAACTCAGTCTTTCATGTTCCACTTCATCAACAAAGAAAATGCAATAAACAAAACAAAGAAAATAAATAATAAACAAATACATATACGTATTTGGTGTATGCGCGTGCGTGTACGGAGCGTGTATGTGTGTGTGCGGGTGTATAATGACCACGTGAAGCAGTCTGTGCAATGGCCGAGAATCCCTTGGCCGGGAGAAGAGCTTTGAGTTTGTTTGGTGAGGTTAAAAAGTTCGGAGGAGAGTTCGAAGGCTTTGACGTGAGGTTTAAAAGTGATGGCAACAAGATCAGTACCTGAAGCAGGCAAATCAAACTGGATAGTGTTGCTCCAGTCCAGGCAACGCAACGAACCAGGAAGAGCGGTATTTCTCCGTCACTTTGGCCGTCACACCCAGCAGCGCATACACAGGATTTCCAGCGGGCAATTGCAGCAACTTTCTTCAGGTAACTTGGGTCCCACTTCAATCTCCTACACGTGTGTTTCCTCTTTTTCGTTCTCTCACTTCCGTTTCTTTCTTTTTCTTCCCTCACTTCCGTTTCTTTCTCTCTTTTATCTTCCGTTTGCCCATTGGTTTCCGCCCATAAGGAAATGTGGAAAAGCTGATATGGATCGTTTTTCTCCATATCGCCACATGTCCATTTCATTTGCATGGAAATCTCAGGACACTCAAGATCTGTATAGATAGACCATTTCAAGCACGTCTTTACTCGCATCACAAAATTAACATTATGGAATATGGTCACTAAACACCTTCAACTGCCTAATGCTTCAGTTCAGCTTTTAATTCCATTAAGATTAATTTTTTATTACAGTGCCTTACTGACATAGAGAAAAATGGTAACCGTATGGATAATGGATTTTTTTTTTTTTTATCAAATAGGTCACAGAGAGTTTTGCTTAAAGATAATCTGTCTGATGAAATGATTATAAATGCAGGAGTGCATGCAGACCTGCCTGTACGCATTTTGCGTAGCGCGCTAAACTGCGGTCACGCCATCTGTGCTTCAGAAAAGCGCAGTCACGCCATCTACGCTTAAAAATATATTGCGCGTCTACACGAGGTTGCGTGGTAGGCTCAAGGTGTATGCGCTTGGTGTCGGCAGACTTTTAAAAAAATATTCATAATAAAATAAATAACATCAAATTGTTTTCTGCAAATTCCACCAGATTATTGTTCTACATCTCACTGACTACCACTGTGGTGATTTTCATGTTGTTCTACTGTTTTATAATTTAATAATTAACTGCCAAAGTCCTATACTGTTTACCTGGCTATATAGGCATATTTGATACATTTATAAAAAATTAAAATCCACGAGCTTGTTCAGCAGAGACACAATCTTGAATATGAACTTGACATTGTTCGCACAGAGCTGAAACACTCAAGTAGACTGCACAGTGACCGGAAAGGGGAAACGCACATCACAAAGTTTCCCCTGACCAGCCGGTCCGCACCTTTCAGCCAACAACCCAGAGCTGAAAACGGGGCCGAGTCCACCGTTCAAAACACCACCAGCCAGCCCACAAGAACCCCCGTCAGGGAAAGGGGGAGGGCCTTTCCAAAGAACCCCTGCCACTAACCACGGCATGGCTCCCAAAGAACTTGACAAGCTGCCCAGAAACATCCCGACGTTCACTTCGAACCCTGCAAGAGGCCACGACGTGCACGCCTACCTGCAAGACATTGACTTTCACTTACAGACTGTTACCAACGCAACCGCGTGGGACAGATTTTACCTGATAAGGATTACCTCCAGCCGTGAGGTGCGCAGCCTCCTAAATCGTCAAAAAGACACTGTCAAAACTGATTACCAGCAGCTGCAACAAGCTTTGATCCTTGGGGGGCGGCTTTGGGGGCGGCAGTGGCTCAGTGGTTCATGTGGGTTGTCTACAAACCGGAAGGTTGGTGGTTCAATCCTCGGTTCCACCTGACCAAGTGTCGAGGTGTCCATGAGCAAGACACCTAACCCCAGCTGCTCCCGACGAGCTGGATGGCGCCTTGCATGGCTGTATGTATGAATGAGTGTGTGAATGGGTGAATGTGAGGCAAATGTAAAGCGCTTTGGTGGCCATTGGGTCTGTGAAAGCGCTATATAAATGCAGTCCATTTACCATTTACCATTTACCATCCGTGAATTCTCTGATCCAGAATCAGACCAAGGGTTATTCACCGCCATGGACCTCAAGCAGGCCCGACTTGAAACCCCACAGACCTTCTACAACCGACTCCGACAAGCCTACTTTGGAGCCCAAAATCACCCAGGTATGGAAGAAGATTTCAACTTCAGAACTCTGTTTCTCCGAAATCTGCATCCCACGGTGAGTCATCACCTAGGTGTCCTGGCCCGTACCCGCAGCATGTCTACCCAACAGCTACGAGACTTGGCCCACAAAGCTCACGTTAAGCAAAAGACTGTGTCCGAAAAGACTTACCCCACAATCTACTCTGTCTCTGAACACTACTCAGAGCTGCCTCTAGAGGGCGCCCCACAACACCCAGCCACGTCAGAGACGGCAGAGATCCTGAAGGTGCTGAAAGAGCTTCTTCACGGGAGATCTCACAAGAGAAACAAGAGGTACGAGCCCGACATCCTGTGGCTAAGCGTAAGACCAAGCACCCTGAACACTGCTCGTTGGCCCCAGGCCACAGAGCCAGCTGTCACACCACAAAGTGACAGCATCACCCAGCCACCACAGCTGACCGCTGCACAGCCTGAGCATGACAGCACAGTGTCACACAACGGGGACCAAAGTCCCAAAAGACCAAGAAATGCTGTTTTGGCTACCTGCCTTCGCAGCGACCCACACAAGACCGGCCCTAACCGCCCATCGATCAACACACCAGCCCCGACGCCAAGACTTCTGGGAAACCTGATCCAAAGGGGGGGGTGGCCCGAAAGCTCTACCTAGCCATCACGATAGACAATGATTTCAGCATTAAAGCCCTGCTAGACACAGGGTCAGACCTCACTTTGATATTAGCTGAACTTTTTGAAAGACTCAGATTCAAAGCTAAGAGACAAGATCGAACTCTTACATCTCAAACGTCTGAGCTGAACGTGCAGTCGTACAGCCAGAACAACATCTGGCTAGAACAGGTAGCTCACATCCACCTGACAATTGGTCCTTCGAGTCTAGCCCATCACGTGCTCATCTCACAAATGAACACGTTTCCACTTCGAATTGGCAAAGATCTGCTAGATCGATTTGAGCCTTTAACCCTCTGGGGTCCAAGGTGTTTTTGGGGTCCTTGAGATGTTTTGACATACTCTGACATTTGTGCTTTTTTCAGTTGCTTATAAACATATTACTGGCAAAGGTGTAATTACACTCTATTTAGCACAAACAGGGTTACCATAATGTGTTATCAACATGTATGTACATTTTTGTATTTTTGAGAGAATATTGTTTATGCGTGGTTATTGAAAAAACTAAAACTTAAAGTTTCTGAAATAAGGCCACAAAACACATACTAAATATGTGTCTTTTGACTAATGGATGTTGTTGCCTAGAGTTTTTTCTTCAAAATGATCTGAAAATCATCCTGCCTTATCATTCACATAAAACAATAGATTGGTTTAAATTTAAAAATGACACTTTTTGTTTGGAAAGGCAATATGCGCAGGGGTGTGACCTGCTGTGATTCACACCTGAGAAGACAATGGGCCCTGTAGCCATGGTCAGATCTGCCATTTTTCCTAAACTGCTGGTTTTGCATTCTTTTAATTCAGAGACTATGACAAAAGTAAAGGCCATGGGACTGTTGATTAGGTTACCGAGTCAATCACAAAGTCTCTCTGTTGTAATTTGCCACACAAAGCAAATGGGGCTGGGACTTGATTGAATTACTGACTCTGATTCACACACTGGCAAGACAAGACGAACATTGTCCATTCAGATAAGCGCACACACGTGGAATCCCCCTGGGGTTTTTCGCTTACACACACAGAAGAGAATTGTAATATTAGACAACTGGCCATTGTAGCAGTTGTTTAAACTCATCAAATTCGAAGCACACACGCTCACACGGGACTGGTTGCGAGTTCACCCCCCGTCACCATCGGTCAATGAACTCTGGACATACATACATACGCATGAACACACACACATACATACTGGACTCGATCACAAATTCACCGCGTGACCAACGCTGGTTGAACTTCTGAACACCCATTTACACACACGGAACACTCGGAACACATGGGATCAAAAATCCCCTTTTGTAAATGTATAATGTTTTGTGGTTGTGTTTTCATGATTCCCTGGTGACAAAACTGGTATAACTGTAAGCTTTTATGATATGTGATCAATTTAACATCCGTTTAATCACGAAAATCATGTATTTGCATTTCACTAAGCCCTAGGAATGCCGA